GCGGCTTCGGTTTAGGGTTAATTAGGGGTTTGGGGTTACGGTTTAGGGTTAGGGGTTTAGGGTTCGGCAGTTAAGGGTTTAGGGCTTTACTAGGGCTACATACTATACAATAGCAGTCCCCCCCTCCCGAAATCTTTCAATTGTCAAACAGCGGACGCACTCTCAAAGCGTCAGGTATCCTGAGATATTTTGGGTAGCGAGTCAGAGCCTTTTGAGACTCTGGTAGTACAGTGATGATGATGCATCAGGGTTGAGGGTTCCGGTTTCAAGGTTCAGGCAATAGTTAGGGTCTGGAGTCAGCATTGAGGTTACTGAGGTTCGGTGTGTCATAACTATCAGGGAATAATGAATATTCGTGTCACCAGAGCATTTGTAGGGGTACTAGCACTTCGAGGATTAGCCCGGCCATGATGTGCGTCCTTTCTTGATGTGTTTCATGTTGAAAAACATTCTTACTACTATTTTTCTCGTCCGGGCAGGTTCTACTTTCTGAATCTACTGCCGCGATCGTACTTATGCAAGTGTTCGTAATTACCTATGCAAGTGCTCATAATACTCGTCTGTTCACTCAACACCACCATAACTACTATGTGACGTTGCCACTAGCATAGCTTCTAGAATAGAACCAGTCCTTATTCTGACGCCAGTGCAGTTGCTAGTGCTAGCAGTACTGTTCTACCTATGATAACTGGCGGCTCAGGCACAGCTTGGGTCAACCGCCTAGTTGCAGCGGCAATCCCTCCACAAGACGAGACCAAACCCCGAATATACCTTTGCAGTAGTCCCCCAAATCGGGGATACGATCCTAAACCCTAAACCCTAAATCCTACCCTAAACCCTAAACCCTAAATTCTCACCCGAAGCCCCATTGTCACCGACAGCCAAAGAATCCGGAGGCCTCGGTTCGCTGGTGCGGACAAAGGCCTGCAGTGGAGTTTTGAGGTTTAGGGCTCTTACAGGGCTTATAAGGGCTAGAATTACTAACCCTAAAGCCTAAACCCCTAAACCCCTCAACCCTAGACCCCTAAACCCTAAACCCCTAAACCCCTAAACCCTGAACCCCTAAAACCCAAAACTCTAAACCCTAAACCCCTAAACCATGCAAGCCCTAAACCCCTGAAGCCCTACACCGATTGGGGACTTCTGGTTTCAGTTTGGGACTCAAGAAACCCCAGATCCCACTTACATGTTCGGGCGGCTGTACCCGAAACCCTGAAGCCGTCGTTTTTCATCGAAGAACGAAGCCGTAATGTAGGGGCCGAAATCATTTCCTATACCATTTTTTTTGGGGGGGGGTTCCTGATGATAACCATCTTATAATGGGCCCCAAAGCCCTATTCTTATTAAGGCCCTTGTATTAACTCATTCTTCTGCGAGGTCGGGGAACCACCGTGGTGGACAAACAGCGCCAGGCCCACAAGCCCCGCCGACCGACCAGAAACGGGTTTAGTGAATCAAGCTAACTTGGTTGCTAAAGCTACTACCCAAAGACTACACAACTAGGCAATGTACCTTACTTAAACTATACAGGGATCCTGAACGCAGCTTTAGAGTACATGTTAGTTCTCAAGTTCGGTTCCCCCTGCGCCGCAAATTCTGAGCAAGTCGCATGATCAGTCGCTAAGCCCTAAACCCTAAACCCTAAACCCTAAATCCTAAACCCCAGGCTCCAAAAACAAAAAGTCGGATGTGGGACTCTCGCAACCCGGACCCGACGGCCACGAACTCCACGACTTCTGGGAGTTATGGGAACCCTACAGCCTGAAGTCCTAATAACCCTAAGAACCCTATATCCTGCAAACAGCTCCCTAAACCCTAAGCCCTAAACCAGCTGAAACCCTTAAGCCGCTTCCTTTATGAAGCCCTGAGTGGGTCGGGCTTAAGGAGTAATATAGGGGCCCTAATAGTTAGAATGGGGTTTTGGGGCTCATTCTACTGTACCTATAATAAGGAGCTCTCAAAACAGTACAGGTAATTATCAAGGTTTCTTTAATTAAAATCAGGAGCCCCCCAGAGTAGTACAGGTAAGTATTTATGCCCCTACACTATAAGACCCTAAACCCCAGACCCCTGAACACTAAACCCAAAATAGTATAGGTATCTATTCAGGCCCCTGCATTAAACCCGAGGCCCCCCCCCCCCCAGAAACTCGGCGCTGCGCCTTCACGACTTCCACATCCTCATCCTGCCACGTCGGGTTTTGGGGGGCTGTCGTTTAGGGTTTAGGGTTTAGGGGTTTAGGGTTTAGGGTTTAGCTTTTGGGGGTCTAGGGGTTTAGGGGTTTAGGGTTTAGGGGTTTAGGGTTTAGGGGTTTAGGGTTTTATTACAAAATACATCCGTTCAATTATTATTAAGGAACCCTGAGGGCTAGTCAGAATGATAAAAATGCCCTGATAACTACCGATACTATTTTTGGGGGTTCCTTCTTATAGTTATACTACAAAATATGTACCGAAACCCTATTCTAATGGACCTTGAGAAGTTTTTGAGGAAATTGAGGCTTTAGGGCGTCATGTAGGAGCCTTAATCATTAGAATTGGGTATTGGGGGGTGTATTATGCTACAGCTATAATAAGGACCCCCCCCCCTAAAGATAGTATTGGTAACTCTGTAGACCCCAAAATTAGGGCAACAGCTTTAACAGAAGGATCCTCGTGCATCCTGGAATTGGTGCCCCTACTTGGAGGTTCATGGGAAGTTATACGTGGGGTTATATAACGTGGGGTGACTATAGTTGTAACCCATACTAGGGGACTTATTATAGCACTACTTATAACTACCCATGAACCTCCAAGTAGCTGAAAGACTTAGCACTGCAAGCGCATCGCGCTGCAGGCACCGAGGGCACTCAACGGACAGCCAGAAACCATGAAGACTCTTTGATTTAGCGAGCACAAACGGATTAGGGTTTAGGTTTTATGGTGCTAGTGTAACTATATCAAGATTATACAGGCCATCAGGGGATAGTTAACTAGCTATTCTTGCTTGCCCTAAGGGTCCATGTACCCATCTGGTATATACTTTGGCCCCAAAGTACCTATATAGGGACTACTGTAAGGCCAAAGTATATACTATCTGGGTACATAGACCCTTAGGGTTGTGCCTTTATCGGGATTTAGAGTAAGTACTACACCGGGCCGACAGTCCGACCCATGGTATCACCCTCATCACCCTCTGCCCGCCTTAGACTCCCGAAAACAACGGTATAGGGTTTAGGGTTTAGGGGATTTTTTTGGCTCCCTCCGAAGTGAATAAGTAATGTAGGGGGCCGTAATAGTCAGAACAGGGTTTTGGGGTATATGATAGTATAGACCAGTGTAGCTAAATTCAGGAACCTTAAGGAACAGTCGTGGTAAAATAATCCCACCGCTACATTATTCGATTATCAAAGCGGCCTAGTAAGTACTCCACTCGCCGGCATCGGGGATTCGTCACTTTGAAGCATTCCACTGCCCCGCAGTAGTCTGCAACGCTCCTATGCTAGATAACATACTTGGAGGTTCAGGGGTAGTTATAAGTGAGGTTATACGTAGGGTAACTATAGCTATAACCCATATTAGGGGACTTATAACTGTACTTATAACTACCCACGAACCTCCAAGTAGGCACCCTAAACCCTACCCTGCAGGAGGAACAACAACCCGGGGACCCTCCGTGGAGACGCCGGGCCTTCATGTGCTTCCAGTTCTGTGGCTGACAGGCCAGCGTGGCAGCCTGGCAGTTTCGGGTTTAGGTTTACGGTTTAGGGCTTCGGTTTTTGCGGGTTTAGGGTTTAGGGTTTAAGGGTTATGGTTTAGGGCTTAGGGTTTAGGGCTTTTAGGTTTTTGCGGGTTTGGGGTTTGCATTCCGATGATTTTTTTAGAGGTGTTTTCTTGAGGTCCCATGGACTGGGTTGAACTAGTAGTACCGCCAAACGGACACTCTCACGAATCTTCCCCGAGGGACCAGTGCCCCCACCCGAAACACGAGACCAGACTCGAAACAGTGGTCTACAAGCAGAGTTGTACTAACTAGGCGCCAAGGGCTTCACGGTCGAGTCTTGTGCATCAACCAGCAGAGCCTGCGGAAACCAAACCGCCAACGCCAATTCAAGAGAGTTCAGGAATTCTGGCTGGCTTCAGCAACGGGCGAAGCCGATTTTTCAGATAGGGTACTACAACGACAACTATACTACTGCTACGACTGCTGGCTAAAAAAAGTCTTGTTTCACTCAACCGGCAATTCGGAAGCATGTCACCCCAAAACCTCTGACCTTCTGTCTGGTGCTTAGTAGGGAATGGGGGAATGGGTTATAGGGATTGCTATAAGTGACCTTAAGGGACGATCATAGGGATCGATTGCCCTATTCCCTACTAAGCACCAGACAGCCTTTGACCTTGCATTCTGACAGCCCGAGCTCTAAAGCCTGAACCCAACAACCACAAAAAGCCTCAGAAGCCAGAAGCCTATTAAACCAATTCCAAAATCTACGAAAAAGGAATGTTCTGCCTATCCACGCTATACTAAACACAGTATCAAACCTACCCAGTTCGAAGATAAGAGCACTCCGAAACCATATTCAAGCCAAAAAATCTGCGAGAACCCCATCAGAAGCCCTAAACCCTACACCCCTAAACCCCTAAACCCCAAACCCCTAAACCCCAAACCCCTAAACCCTAAACACCTAAACTCTAAACCCCTAAACCCTAAACCCCTAAACCCTAAACCCCTACACCAAACTCAAACACTAAACCCTAAACCC